TAAATTTACGAGTAAAATAAAATATCATCATTTTCAATTTTATCACTTCCATGGTTTAAGGTTATAGCTTTAAAACAAAGTCATAGAAGAAAATAGTGATATGAAAAAGAGAACCATACATTGCTTGGGCCTGGTTATTCAAAATTTTAAACTTTTGATTTTTTTTGTTCACAATCTTACAAAACTGAGCGATTCTTTAAAAAGTTTATTGTAAACCTACTCTGATGAGAAAATGAAGACAATGAAGGTTTTGAATAGGATGGAGAAAATGGAAATGTTTGAGCTTAAACATAAAGAGTCTGTTGAATATCAGCAGATTAAGTAAAATTATATCAACTATTATTTGTCATGAGATTTTAGGTATGTACCTTCATTCATTTTTCCAGCCACGACAGATCAAGGTGCATTTTTAGATAAGATGCTCCCTTATATGTGGGGGCCAAGGCCCCTTCCATGTGGGGGACTGGGCAGGCTGTACATTGACAGGCCTTAGTTTCCTTTAATGTAATCACTTATCTTTCAGGAGACGAGACTAGAATTGTTGTCATGACAGGTGTGGCAAGGTTTCAAGACAATAGATGCAAAAGCTTTAGACTTTTTAGATCCAATCCAGAAATCAATGCTTCCTTTGAATGTTTAGGCCATATCCCTGTGCATATCCAGAAAATAATAAATCATAATTTTTTTTTTCTTTTTGTCTTTTTGAGACAGGGTCTTGCTACGTAGTTTAGGCTGGCCTTGAGCTCACTTTGCAGCCCAGGCTGGTCTCAAACCCACAGTCCTCCTGCCTCAGCCTCCCAAGTGCTGGGATTACAGGCATGTGCCATCAGGCCCGGCTCCAAAAAGCTCTAAATATAAAAATTCCAAATTTTCAAAATTTCAACAATAAAATTTTGCAAAAAGTACTCAACCCTATTGAAAGAAAATTTATTTACATTTTTAAAAGATTTAATTGAAAGACATGCAAAATATTATAGAGAATTTCACAGGCTAATTTACTGAACAAACAGGAAACAATAACCAACATGTTTTTGCAAGAATAAAAAATACCAGGTACATTAACAACTGGGTGGACATAACTGTTATGAGTCATACTCATAAAGAAATAGACCAAAACATGAGGTATATTAAACACATCACTGTAGTTGATAATTTTAAATACCCAGCTTTTTACCTACAGTCATCTGAAATACTTTACAAAGTCTTCTGAAAAAATTTATAAAATTGATTTCGAAAAGTGATTAGGTGAAAGTGTCATCAAATATGAAGTTATCTAAGAAGAAAAGTTCCTGAAAAGATTTGTCTTTAATAAATGTAGACATTTCTTTATTTATTGAGAAAGTTTCAATACTTTTAAATACATTATGCTTTCATATAACTTACTATAAAGTGACATTGTGCTTTTATGAGGTAGGATTTGCATAAACTACATGAAAATTAGAAGTAAAAGTCTTTAAACAATGTGTACTTCTACACTGATAAGTTATGTCAAGCTGGATTACATAACTTAAGAAGTCATAAAAATAATACAATTTAAAATAGTTGAGAAGGAACTAAAAATATCAAAATTTAAAAATTAAAAACAAAATTTGTCATACCAAAAACTTTGTGCAAGAATACATTATGGGCAATTGTACAGAGGTTGTCTTTAAAAAATAGCCAAAATTCACAGTCTTGAGTTATATTAATTATACTTGAATTCTTGCATTCCATTGGCTTCTTACCTTTTTTTCTCTCTCTTTTATTGCAGAGCTTTCTTCAGAGACTATGCTAATATTTATTTTCTACATGGCACTGCTTTCCTGAAATTCATCTGCAATTTGATATACATTATAAGGACGATCCCTTTTAAAATTTTCCATCTTCTGTGTCATACTTTTCTATGTTGCCTCCAGTACATTTAAATCCATCCAACAAGTGTTCACATACAGATTGCAAATTTGGAGGAAAAATTCCTGGTGACTGAGCAGCCACACTGTTGTGTGTCTCATTCTACCACACACATAAGTTATTTCAGAATCAGTCAGTAGCTTCTCTGGCTTCTTCAGGGAAATATGGCTACAATTCATTAAGGCACTTGGAATTTTATCGACTAGAAGAAATATCAATGCATGCAAATGACCTATTTTTTTTTCTGAAGGACTATGACTAGCTCCTTTCCCAGAATTTGACTTTTTACTCTTCTTAAGTGTACTTTTAAAAGATGAGAATTGACTTTTCAGCATTTCCATTTTCATTTTAGAGAATTTCAGTATTTTGGATTTACATCTTTAAGAATTGCAATATTTGGAGGTATTGGACATCAGAGATGTTACACTTTAGGGATTTCATCTTCAGAGGCTTCAAAATTTGAGATACAGTGCAAAAGGTTGTATCATTTGGTACTTTAAACAGCACTGTTCTTCCACAATTTATTGGTGAAAGCAAGTCTCGAGGCCAGCAAAGATTTTAGTAGTGGAAAAATGTTCCAATTCTGGTTAAGAGAATCTCTAAAATCATATTACTATACCCATAAATACAAGGAAGAGTGAATAATTTATACAGTTTAGTAGACAGTCTACCACAGTGATATTATTATTTTTTTCTATAAATTCTGGAAAATGTACAGGTACGTTCAGAGGCGTTTTATTCACTAGTGATTAGGGAAAATATTTCTGGTCTAAGAATGGTCCTATGATCAAAGAAAGAGAGAAAACAAGCAAATGAACTAAGTAATGTGTCACTTCATTACCCAACAATGTTTCCTCAGAAGAAAATGAACATACCTTACACAAATGGCAAGTGAAAATACTACTTATTAGCCACTAGAACTACAAGAGAAGCAATCATTAGTAAATATTGTCACTATTTTACATAGACCTCAAAATCACAAAATTTTAGGAAATAGAGGAAAACTAATTTTTATTTGGTGAATTTCTCTCTTTCTGAGATGAATAATTCTTGGGAAAATATCTACAGTATAGAAAAACCCTACAGCTATCTAAAGCCATGACTCCGGGTTTGCCTCCACTAAACATGATTTTGACCTTTTCTAACTTTCACATCTCTTATAAATACCTTTCATTATTTGTAAGGAAACATAAACAAAAAAGCTGTGGTCAAGGTGTTCTGACTAACCAGCCTTTCAATAAACACAACATTAGAAAGAGTAGAACTAGTGCTGAGTTGTTAAGACAAATATTTATCATTCTCCACATGAATAGCCCTTGCTTGCCATATGAGTAGCAGTGGTGTCAGGAAAGAACATCTTAAATATTAAAGTTATTTAACAAGAAATGCTTCCCGCATCACCCTTTTCTCTAAGGTCTGACCTAGAAATTACATGAGCTAGTCCTTCTGTCTTCATGAAGGGCTTTTGACTCTCATGGGTGACACCAAGTAAGATCAAGACCCAAACCATGACACCGTGACTATTTTGTGTGGAGACCTTAGGAAAACACTTTATTAAAAGATCTAAATCAATTTTCAGGCCAAAGGATACTCCTGAATGCCAGTAGTTTTTAATTTGAATTTTGTTCATGACTAGTGACTGAGTGTGTATACATAAGTTACATTTTCATTGGTATAGAATACACACAAACATGTGTGCATATTTATTTATATACAGCATATATATAATACATATTCATAAAGTCAATATGGTTACAAGTTACTCTTTTATAATAAAAGTAAGTGTTATGAGAAAATTCTGCCATCTCTAGGATTTTAATATATTCAGCAAAACTAAAAAAAATCTCTAAATATTATATGAAAAGAGAGGGAACTAACAGAAGAATATTGACATTTTTTAAACAACTGGTGGGATATGTTTATGTGGCTTCGATATTTAATGTACTTATATGTATGCATGAGAATATACTTATTAAAATAAATAAGAAGCAAGAAAATATTACCTTTCTTGAAGGTCATTTTTCTCTTTGTAGAAGATCTCTACAACATATATGCAAAAGTAATGATTTAAATTTAAATATCAACATTGAAGACTTAGTGATTAAAGTAGGTAAAAACTTGTCAAATATTTTAAAATAAAAGTTGAGTTTGGGTTTTGCATGAAAATAAGGAAGCACATGGTTTGATCCTAGGAATGCTGACTCAGTTACAAAGGTGTCCAGCTTACAAGAGTTTCATATTGTTTAGTGAAACAAAGATTTGGAAAGTGTACTGATGCAAATTAATAGGAAATACTGTGTGTAATCAGTAGGTCTTATGTGCCCCAACTACCACTGAGGGTGCATAAAAAAGACTGGTGTAGGTAACAATGTTCAAGTTAAGGAAAGATCCCCTGCTTTTCACCAGAATTCTCTACTTCTGACACCATGTGCTATTACAGCAACTGCTTTGGAGGTCTGGGTGGAGCCATCATGGCCTGGGCTGTGGTTTTCTTAGCTATGGCTGTGGGTGTGGAGCCCTCATCCAAGGCTGTGGTTGTGGCAATTACGGTTCTGGCTGCTGCTGCCCATCTTGGTAGGAAGACCCTGCTCCAGTGGTTTTCCCTGAGACATTCACAAAGAAACTCAAGCCTTTGGTGGCCTGAATTTTGCCTCCCTGAGCCTATCTCCATGATTCTTCCACTGTCTGTTCTAAAGTGTCAAATTCATACTGAAGGATCTAAAATACAAAAACAATGTTGAGGTGCTGCAACTCTCCATTGGTCCCTGAAATCAACGGAACTATTTCAGAAATTTTTGGAAAAACTTTTTCTTTGATACTGTGCTGCCATTAAAATGTCTGATCAACTTCTAAGTGAGAAAAATGTAAATTTTTATTTTAATAAAATTTTATCTCATTGAAATTATGAATTTATGGCATTTAAATTTATTTATCTTCATTTGTGTGTGTGTGTGTGGGTGTGTGTGTGTGTGTGTGCACTCGCATGGATCTATGTTTTGGCTCACCTGTTTATTAAAGTGGGAAAGAAAAAGATATGAAAATATGAAAGCAAGAACAGACTTCAGAGCATCCTGAGGCAACACTGATGTCAGGAAAAGCAAGGGTAGGATATCAATTTATTTAAATTTTTTTATTTCTTGTGATTGTTTGATTGGTGCTCTCCTTAATCATCTGAGTCTTAGACCCTTGCTCTCTGTTTTCACACATTTCTGGTTGGGTGGTTCTTTTCCACAGCTTCCCCCTCAAAGAACAGTGTCTGCGTTCCTCTCCGGCGTGTTGGTAAGCCATTTCTTGAGAGGACAAGAGAAACTCTGCTCTCTGCTGTCCTCAGATTTCATGAGTTTCAGTATCATCTCCACCATTTCTGATTTAAGACAGGTCACCAAATACAAAGATAGTAAAACAGACTCTGATCTGAAACAATTTGACTTCAGCGCTCAAGCCAGAGTCTGCTTAAACCTATATTGCTTGAATATCTAATACAGGTCACTGTTCAGGTGAAGTGAGTAATTGACATCTCAATAAACAGGAAACTTTAACATCAGGAATTACTTCATTCTCTTTTAAGTCACTGGATTCTCATTTGTAATTCTAGGATTTCCTTTGAAGACATAAAATCTTATTCTCCAATTCCCCTCAAATTTCTACCTATGCCTATAACCCAGCTCAAAACAATGAGAAATAGCATTCTCTCTGATGGGGTAGTCGTCTGGTAGTATCTCACTTTGACTGCAAGATTTCTTTTTAATTTGATTTGTAGAAAGCCTTAATATTTGAAATAAAAAGTGAGTGTGCAGCCATTTTTATTTGAAACACCAACACTACCAAAGATCAACACATGTGGCCAAACTGAAAGCAAAATTTGTAAATCATTTTTAGAAGCTTGCAATATAGACTTTGTGTAGTGTGATAAATCATTTAAACAGAATATACAGCATTCAACTGAAAATTTCTCCTTCAAAAATTTCTAAGTTCTTATCACTTGATATCTTAAAGTGCTGATAAAAGACAATAACCTACAATCCTAAACTAGTACTTATTAGATTGCCATAGACAATAAATATTTATGGAACAAATGCAATTTAATTATATTGGGAGCTTTTTTACCTCTTCTGATGAGAGAATTAGAATGGACTGATGCCAACAACCTTTGTAAACATTAAACAAAATGAAACAAATTGTATTTGATAGATGATAAAGTACATCAATTCAAGGGTATATTTGAGTATATAATTTTAGTGAAGTTCTTCAACTATCATCTGAAGCAAGATTTCATTCAACCAAGCACTTTGTTGGCTTTTTGTTCTCACAATATCTTGCTTTTGACATCTATGTCCATAGGGATCAGAAAAGGTCACCTCCATCCCATTTAAATGTTTACCTTAACGAGAGCCCTGGAGCAGACTCACTACCATGAAGCTCTTCCTTCACAAAGCACCAGTCTCCTCAAATAAGAGAAAAAGATCCATGGGTCTCTGACTCATCAAACACTTTGTACACATCTGACTCTGCAGAAAAAACAAAGACCAAATATAAGACTGTTATTTCCTGAAAATCAGTTCTAGGAAGAATTTTTGTATCCACAAATGCAAATGCATTCTGTTTTGTAATCTGAGAATTGGTGTGGGTATATGTAGAGAACACGAACATGCATGTATTTTGAGATTCACGACTTAGAAATTTCACATTTTTATTTTTTTGTAAATGAACTTGTCATGTCTTCAGTATAGAGATTATTAGAAATCATTTAAACTAGTCCAACCTCACATTTACTCTGTTTTCCTATATTCATTTTCTACTTTGCAGAGGATTTATCTTTTAATTTAGGAAACCAGCATTTTAATATTTGTTACTTCAAATGTCTAACATAGAGTGCAATCACTTCATCATTGGATTCTTTTCATGTTTCTATTTCATTTGTTATGGTGACACAAACACCATCATCCTACAGTAAACATTCTGGAAGTACCTGTTCATCTTCTCAATATTGGAGGTCTCCAATAAAAATGACAGAATTTAATGTAGCTTCCTGGGAATAACTTAACATTTTCAAATGGCTTTCCAACTTTGCTATAATTTGTAACACATACAGCTGTGAACGAGAAAACAGATATTAATTAGGAAAGCTAATTTTAATAATAGTAATGTAATAATTCATTCACATAAAGTTCATTAGGATATAGTTGGCCCTCAGTGAATATCACCTAAATGAAGGAATGTTATTTTCTTAAATGACAGTACACAGAAAACCATGGAACTTTCATGAATTTCATTAATTCAACTGAGAGTGTACAAGGAACTGGATCTGTGCAACTCTATACAAACACCCATCAGCAAAGTTTCACTGCCCAAACGATGATATGGTGTGTAGTGTTCTCCTTTAAGGAATCTGTACGTAGGAGTGATAGGAAATCCAGGTTTGGGCAGGTTTTTTTTCCTTTTACTTTCCCATCCTTCAATATGATAGATATCTAGTAGATATCACTTTGTCTGGACAGTACAATAACTTAATGATATGGGTTTGAAAAAATTAGCTTTTAATATAATAAATTTCATTTACTTTTTAGCACAAGATAAAAATAAATTAATACATTACTTACAAAAATGAAACAATTCACCTCTATGTGGACGGCTGATACTTTATTTGAGCAATTATTCTTTTTTTTTATAGATATGCAGGTCTGATCCATTTCACCCATAAGCATAGTCTTCAGTTGCATCCATCCACACACAAAAGCCCCTAATCCATCTTTCTTCACAGCTCAGCAATACTCCACTGTACAAAACCACCACATCCCTTCTATCCATTCCTCAGCGATGGACACCTGGCCTGTCCCCAAGGTCTAACCACAACAAACTGCGCTGCTACAAACATGGATGCACACATATCCCTGCGGTACCATGCCTTCAGTTTCTCTGGAAAAATACCCAGGAGGGAAACAGCTGGGCTGAGTGGGACCCCCAATCTCAGTCCTCTGAGGAATCTCCACACCGAACTCCACAGTGGCTATACCAGTCCACACTCCCACCAACACTGGAGAAGTTTCCCTTCCCCACAGCCTTTCCACTATATGCCATTGGCTGATTTCTGGATGACAACCTTTCTTTCTGGGTGAGATGGAACCACAGCACCACTCCAATTGTGCATTTCTCCAATGACCAATGATGCCAAACATTTCCTCATATACCCACCTGCCATTTGTATTTTTCCATCTGAAAAGTGTGCACTCATCCTAGAAGCCCATCCTTTGAGTGGGTCTTTGAACTTTGGAGGCTGTTGGAATGCCTCACAGATCTGGAGAAAGCATGCCTGGAATGAGTGATTATTCTTATTATAAGGACAGCACAACTTTTATATTGTGGAACCAACAATAAAATATTTAAAAGACTCTGAATTATGCAATTGTCAACATTCAATCTGAGAAAGCATATTCTCTGCTACTTGACTGAACTTTCAATTTCTGACCGCATGAGCCACAATAGAAACGTCTGTGAGGCGTAATCTTCAATTATGGGCTGATTTTTTGCAGGACAATATTCTGGTCCAGTAGGTTCTATCCAAGTTCTACCTGAGCAGTTTGACCTACAGGACACATCCATCTGTTTCCTAACTAACCCACAGCAATATTCATATCAAGCATAACAAATTTATCTCTCACTATTATGAAAACAATAGTGCAGATACTCGATTTCCAATTTCAGTTAACCTAAATGTGATAACTTATAATGTACACAAAAACTTTGCTCTTTGTTCTTTATATTTATGTACATTTATTTCAAATGAAAACATTAGCATTTATTAAAAATAATGCTTAATAAACTATGCTATATTGTAAATTTGTGCTTTATCGCATTTACATTAATTACCTTCCATTTTCTTTCTTTTGATTTTTTATGTCTATGCATATGTTAGAGAGAAGAACAAAGATATATAGTGAGAAGCAGAGAGAGATAGAGGTAAAGAGAGCAAAATGCTGAATGACATTTTTTTTGGAAAGCTCCTGAGATTTTGGCAAACAAAATTTTAACAATCTAAACATGTTTGTTTTTAGCTAAGGTCATCACTAACCTGGAAGGATGTGATTTAGAAGCCACAGTTACACTTCATCAGACTGCCAAAATATACTCATATTCTAAGTTTTAAAACTAAGCTCTTGTCAACCAAAAGTCCTTTTTTCCTGCCATTATTAAACCAAACTTGTCTTATCGATTTACTGATACTGTAAATGTTGGCTGAATTCCCTAGCATGGTACCTCAGAAGAGATGTAATCTACTTGTCATCAAAATGGCATGCACACTGTAGGAAAAAATCTGAATAGTCATCTGCATGATTCCTCATCTCTGAGGTTAAAATCTGCCAGTAAAGTCTGCTATTGGTGAACTGCTAGCGCTTAAACCTTAAATGTCTCCCAAAAGACCATGTATTAAACATATGCTACCCAGGGTGCTGCTATTGGGAGGTTCTAGAACCTTTGAGAGCTGGTGGCTACTTGGAGATCCTCTAGGCATACTGAAATGTGTCCAGAATGGTTTGTGGCACCCTACTGCCTTCCTTTTACTCTGTTGTTTGTGGACTATGAGATGAATAATTTTGATCCACCACCTATGCTCCTTTTACCTCTGTAGATGAGGGAAGGGCAATAGAACATGGACTTCACTCTCCAAAGAATTAAACAAAATAACCTTTGTGAGCTGATCGTGAGGAATTTCACTAAGTGATGGCAAAGTTACTAATACATCAACCCAAAATAACACTCTTGTATGTTTGGAGTCACTGCCTTCCTCTTATAACATAATTTCTCAGATGCTGTGATTCTTCATTTTCCTTTGAAGTCCCCAAAATAGATTTTCCTACTCATTCTATTTTTATTTTAAAAATCCACATGATATTCAGAGATAACAATGTGGCAACAGAATTTTACATGATATGATATAAATGAGGCAAAAATCTGCTTGATTAAGTACGCTTTCCATCTGATTTCCAAGAAAATATAACATTTTACCAAAAAGCTATTTAGTCATCATCATATTTGAAAACTTAATTCCTTTTGTTCCCAACTCTAGAGATTAAACCCATGGTCTGTTCTATGTTAGTCAAGGACTCTATTATTGAGGGACATTTCCATTCCTAAGTTAATGCTGACAATGACATTCTAACAGATCACCATACATGCAAAGAATTATTTGGGCAGTGGAAAATCTATCTTAATTATTTGAACAAATATCCAATGTGCATAATATTAGATAATGTTTTACCTAATAGATAAAAATAAGGATTTATTTTCTTATTTAAAAGAAAAGAAAAAGTTTTCTTTTCTTTTTTTTTTTTTTGGTACCAGGAATTGAACTCAGGACCTTGTGCTTGCCAGGCAGGCACTTGTGCCACTGAGCTATGTCCCCGGCCCTGCTTTTCTTTTCAAAAATGGGAAATTCCTAATGTCATTTCACAATTTCCAGGGTTTCATGCTATGGGCAAAAGAGCCTATTAGCAAAGAAAAGAACAAGAATCAGAGTCTCACTGTTAATCTTGATCTGTCAACTTTTTTGGATTAAGCCTAGTAAATTAGTAGAGCATCCACATGAGAGTGTTTGAGTAAGACCTGCTCCTGGGTGTGTCTGGGTAGGTCATGGAAGAGTGACCTTGAGTGCTGTACCCTAAGCAGTTCCTCTGTGACATGTTACCATGCTCTGCTTCCTTGCCATCATGGCCTGAGCATCTTTACTCCTGCTTGTCCTTCCCCCATGATGTTTCTGCCTTGGAGCCAGCCCATAATAGATTGAAAATGTGAGTCAGTTAAATCTTTGCTCTGTTAAGTTGTGGATGTTGGGTGTTGCAACCAGCATCGAGCAACTTGACTAATATAGAAAATTAATGCTGAAAGTGAGGTGGTGAACGTAACTATACATGACTATATGGTATAGAAGACTTTGGAAGTGTTTTGTGGGAGAAATTTGAAAAGGTTTGGAGATGTGGGATACAGAAGCTCTAAAATACTATAAGCAGAGCCTAATGGTTGATTTTGACTTATAAGAGAGTGAACAGTAAAAGCTATGCTCAGGAGGTTTCATGGGGAACAACAGCTTTATTTTCAGTTGAATTAAAGACCAGGTATGTTATACTCTGGGAGGAAATTTGTGTACATTTTGAATATGTAGTGATACTTTACAGGAGACAGATTGAAATAGCATTTGTTAAAGAAAATGATTTAGAAGTAAATGTAAAATATGACTACATACATTACAATATTAACAATTTAAAACCAGTAACTAGCTCATATTTCATGAGCAATATTCAAGTAGATAATGCTCCACAATACAAAGAAGAAAAAAAAAAACAAATTAAAGATGAGCAAAAATCTTTCTCCTGTGCAGGAATGGAAAAAAAAACCCACAAAAATGAAAATAAGATCTTTAATCTCATAAACTGTATCATGCCATATAATTAGGTCATGTGTACTTAACTAAGTAAATACAGAATGAGCCAGGGCCTTGGAAATAGAACAAGAATTTCACTTTAAGGCCCATAAATACGGATGGCATTTTAACATAAGAGCACTTTTCTTATTTAAGAGGACCTTGGTATCTCAGTAAATACATATTTAGGACCTTATCCGAAGCTCATTAATGACATAATATGATCTTGCCCTGCCGCTGGTTTTCCCTACCCACCACCAAGAGTTATAAAAGGCCCTTGGCAAACAGTGGCATCCAGATACAAGATCCCTACTTCCTCGTCCTCAACTAAATAGTCCACCCCTCACACAATATGCTGTTGTGGCAACTACTACAGTGGCCTGTGCTATGGCTATGGTGGTCTAGGCTGTGGCTATGATTATGGTGGCTATGGCTATGGTGGCTATGGTTATGGCATAGCCCATGTGCTGTAGAAGATAGGGTACCTATGGCTTCTACTGAGGAATTTCCACAGCTTCTTAGCCTACTAGCTGTAACCTCCAGTTTACTTGTATTATCTCCAATTTTCTTCATGTGAGAAAATTTTAAATATCTTCAAAAATAATAACTATCATCCATCTCAGAATAATAAATGAAATTTAGCATGTCAATTTGATGCATTATTATCAGTTGGTCCACTTGCTACTTTGTAGAAAAGTTATTGATTTATTTTTGTAATACTGTGAAAATGTGATCAAATTTGACTTTAAACTTTCTTGTAAAAAGATATGTATTATTAAATAAACTTTCTGTGATTGAAAATATTTCTTTGATACAGTTCTGCTAAATAGTGTATCAATTTGACACATATGTTTGTGTATCTGTATGGGATTGCTCACACAAGGGGAGGGGAAAATGAGTATCTAAAAGCTCTCTTTTGGCCTTAGGGATCTAAAATATTAATTCCTTTTAACAGGTCATACAAAATCTCTTCTTATATGTGTCCTTTAATCTCGTCTACATTTTAAGCTATGCTGTTCATCTAAATATTAGAAAAGTTTACTTTCTACAATAGTATTTGTTTTTCATATCAAATGAGTTTAAAACTGTGTATATTTGTATGCTTTGTGTCATTTGTAACACCGGTGGTTGGATTATTATATCTGCCAGAGCTTTCTCTCTGTGAAGTATTTCTTTTTTTTTTTTTTTTTTTTTTTTTTTTTTTTTTTGGTACCGGGAACCGAACTCACGACCTTGCGCTTGCCAGGCAGGCGCTTTTGCCGCTGAGCTAAATCCCCAGCCTTCTGTGAAGTATTTCTAATTTTCAAAAAATACACTGACTATACAATTACTGTACATATTTTTTGTATTAAAAATGTTAGCATTAGTGATGACATTCTGGCTTACCAAAATGGCAGCCAAATACATTTCAAAATGTTCCAACTTATTCTATTTAGAAAAAAAATACTCATTATATGTGCAAATGTAAATGCATCAAAAATGTGAGATAGTTATACAGTATCAAACTAATATTAGATTATTTCTTTTTTACACAGAAGTATGGTTTTTATCAAATATATTTGTCTCTGTATGCTAAATTTCTCCACAATAAAATTGTTTCCACTCATAGGTTAGTCAGACTGACAACATTATATTCAATGAAATGCTGACGGAAAAACATAAAAAAGAGAACAATACTTTGAAGATGGAGAGTTTTTTTAAAAGTGAATTGAAATTGGGCAGTTTTTGATTCCTGGATCCAGGCAAGAGGCTACTACAGAAAAGTTCATGGAATTTCAGCTGTCTTTGTTTGGTGTGATTTGGTTGTCTGTTTTTTCCTAGGATGGCAGAAAGCATTTGTAGACATAAGTGTGCACAATCCTAAGAGCATGCTGGGAGAATACTGTGTTTAACAA